ACACGTATGTTGTTTAGAGAAATAGAGACCTTTACCTTTACCTTTAAATACTGCTTTATTAATACATCGTGTCTCAAAAAAATGTAGGAACGCCAGTGAAGCTGCTAAAAGCGCTCTCTAAAGCGGTGATGGGATAAACTCCAATTTGTTTACTTTTTGCATTGTTGGCTATCGAATTCTAAAACGCATGGTCACTCGTAATACTATGGATCGCTTGCAACTCTTGGATAGCTTTATGGACTTTGACCGAATTAAAGGAAGTAATTTTTTTTAAATCTGTCCTATTTAGCTTCATCTCGAGGGATCCACCTCTCACCACCATCTGCTGAACCAGTCTGGAAACTTGTGATAACATGGCGTGATTATGGTAAGCGGCGGCCTGGGCATCTGGTAGGGCGACGGTATTTATCTTTTTTGGTGGGCGGGGAGCGGGAGGGCGGGGGAGGGAGGGAAACAGAGAAATCCCCAGGGACCTCCAGGGGCACTAAAATCCTGCTTTTTTATTGGGTCTTAAGAAATACTACGACGAACGACAACACGACTCTGAGATGGGGTCGAGGGAAGAAAGGGGCACGTTAAGGAGGGTTCAGTTTCCTTCCAAGGCGGAGGGAAAAACTCCAAAATGTTTTCCTGATCAACCAGGTTAAAAAAAAAGTGAAGTGGACCAGTATTTTTGTCACGTTTTGAAGTCTATTTAGGTAATTTGTTTGTCAACTTCAACTGCTTACATAGTATTTTTTTGAAAGGGAAATTTGAACTGAGGGGAGTTTTATACGTGCCACATGGGAATCAGTTACTTGCAATCGATTATGTATAACTAATTGTGCCTTCATTTTAGCTTTATGTATTCAATTCTATTCTCCGTCAATTGCATTTTATTTTCAAGTTATCAAATGCTATTCTATTCTCATTTGATTCTATTCTCATTCTGTTCTCCGTCTATTCTATTGCATGCCTTTCTATTCGCATTCTATTTTGACCTATTCCCTTTCCATTCTTTTCTCCTTCCACTCTATTCTACTCTACCCTATTCCAATTATATTCTCATTTTAATCTATTCAATTCTCATTCCATTCTAATTCATTCCTTCTATTCTCATTCTTTTCTTTTCTATTCTGTTCTATTCTCGTTCTGTTCTATTCTAATCTATGTTATTCTCATTCCATTCCATTCTCATTCCACTCCATTCTCATTCCATTCCATTCTTATTCCATTCCATTCCATTCTCATTCCATTCCATTCTCATTCCATTCCATTCTCATTCCATTCCATCCATTCTCATTCCATTCCATTCTCATTCCATTCCATCCATTCTCATTCCATTCCCTTCTCATTCCATTCCATTCTCAATCCATACCATTCTCACTCCATTCCATTCTCATTCCATTCCATTTTCACTCCATTCCATTCTCATTCCATTCTACTCTCATTCCATTCTACTCTCATTCAATTCTACTCTCATTCCATTCTACTCTCATTCCATTCTACTCTCTTTCCAGTCTACTGTCATTCCATTCTACTGTCATTCCATTCTACTGTCATTCCATTCTATTCTCATTCCATTCTATTCTCATTCCATTCTATTCTCATTCCATTCTGTTCTCATTCCATTCTGTACTCATTCCATTCTGTTCTCATTCCGTTCTGTTCTCATTCCATTCTATTCTCATTCTATTCTGCGCTTGACAACTTTCTACAGTCATTTTAGCCTCTAATGCACAGAAAAAACAGAACACTGAACACAGCTCAGCTATGTCCTATCTCACTCCATAGATTTTGATGAGTGAGCCAGTTCAGTTTGCTTTAACAGAGGAACGTGCGTGGTGTCAAATGGATTTGTCTGCCTTTGCCTGAACGGTTGGACTGGACAGAGGTGTGAAACAAGTATGTCATGCGCAGTTGTTTTATTTTGTACATATCGAGCTGCTCTAAGACAAGACAGCAGGTTGGAGTGGAGAATAAGTTCGCTTTTTGTTCACAGGCGCAAGATCTAGCAGTAATACAAAGTCTATCGAATAAGGATGGAATTTCAAATAATCGATATTTAATAAATAGAGAAGCCTTGCCCGTGCTCTGTTCTGTTGTAAAGCACGCAAGAAGCGTTTATAGTACGAAAGAAGTGTAGGGAGAAACACGACGCGTATCTCTCCACTTCTTGTACACCTATAATTTCTGGCCTGATAGTCACTCTTTTTAAAGCAAACATCATGAATTTTTCATGAAGCAAACTAGACTAATGAAACACACGGGCTAAGGAAGAAAAAAAACAAACAAACAAAAAACGGAAAAGGAAAGAACCCTGTCGAGATAACATAATATAAGGCAAAAGTAAAACAGATGCATGTACATGTTGTCTTTTCTTAGGGATATGCGAAGCATAAAAAAGAGTTAGAACGGACTCGATATGCAAACTTCAACGCGGGCTAAGGAATCAGGGGAGAGCATGTATCTTATTAAAGATGGTGGACCGATCGCTCAATGTGGCAAATCAATTGGGAAAAAATGTTTGTGGGAGTGAACGCTCAATTCTGTTTCTTGGAATCACAGCATCATCGGCTTTTAGTACGATTACAGTATATTATTAAATTTAGGGGCAGGGTTTGTTATATTCTGCTCAATGTATCTACAGGTTCACCATAGTTTTCCTTTCGATTTTATACTATTACCAACAGCAGCCAATAACAAAACATTTCTTGAAAAAAACTTATGGAAAATGTCAGTTAATCTGTCGGATCCAATGCTCTTAACCTAATTATAGTAATCAATTTCAGGTATCGATGAGTGTGCTTCCAATCCTTGTCAAAATCGAGCTACGTGCATCGACAAACATTTGAGCTACAGATGTATTTGTGCTAAAGGATATACCGGAATACTATGCGAAACTGGTATGGTACTTCTATAAATAGGAAATAAAAAGGTCTCGTCGGACCATCTTGTCTGGCTTGGAACACAATATCGCACCTCGGAACCGTGACGCACAAAATGTTTTTACTCTCAGTGGTATTTTATTGCTGTATTTAATAAAAAACAAACAACAAACAAAGAAACAACAAAGAATCAACAAAGAAACAACAAAGAAGCAACAAACAACAAAAAACAAACAAACAAACAAGTAAACAACAAGTAAACAAACAACCGGCCAGAAAGTAAAAGCACGTAATACGTAACTTAAAAAAAAATAACAAAAAGAGCGAAGGGAAAACGACAACACAAATAAAAAAGGAAGAAAAAGAAAAAAAAAACTGGGAAAAGAAGATCAAAACAAGGAAAAGATGAGACAGAAAAGAAAGATTTTGCATCAACCTTACATAGCTCAAAGACCAAATATCACTCGGCTGTATAAAGGGGTGCTTTCTAAAAAAAGCAATTTTAGCAGTATACACGATATCTTTCCATCTATACCAGCGTTTTCATGTTTGAAACAGTTTTGAAAAATATCCAATTCTGATGATTGAGGAAACTGCTGTCTTAGTTTCAACGGTGCGCGAGATCAGAGAAGAAAAATATTTCGTTTTCAAATTTGCTCCGATTAGCTGGGTCAAAAGCTTTAAGGAATAAAAGAATAACTAGCCATCTGAAATTTTAGTCGAGACGAAGAAAATTAATATTTGTTCTTTGATTGTGTAAAGATATTTAGTTTTAAAAAATATGTGGAAACTGTCTTTGAACTTAACGCATGGTAAAACTGTTCTCATTTGTCGATTAGAAATAGACGAGTGTTCGCCAAACCCTTGTAAAAACAGAGGAGTCTGTAACGACGGAATTGGTTACTACACCTGTATATGTGCAAAGCACAGAGGGTTCACAGGAAAGAACTGCAACAGAGGTATACCTTTTGGGTGGTGAGAGTTTTTAATTCTTGGTGTGCCTGTGTCGTCAACGAAATTAGTTGTTCTTTATGATTAAGTTTAAGTAACTAGGCCTTAAAGCTAGAACCAGTACTAGGTAGATTTTGACCTTGATCAACGTCTGAGGAGTTTATCATGAATACTTACTTGCTGAGGGTATAAGGCAAGTTTTTCACGTGGAGCAGGATTTCCTCTTGTGTCGCACTAAAAACTGAACCGATCCTGTAGTATTTTAATGACTCCATCGTACTGGAAGTGAGTTTTATATAGTTTCCCCTTTCTGTTATGTCAGCAACGACTAATCCCTCCCACTGAAAACGTCGTGATCCCTTCAAAATCTCCGCCCTCCCTTTAAGTCTTCAATCAATTCTCTGATCTTTTCTCTACCTGTATTTAGACATAGACGAATGCGACAACAATCCTTGTAATTCAGGAACATGCACAAACACACGTGGGAGCTACAAATGCATTTGTCCTCCAGAATGGGAAGGCAATAAATGCCAGAGTAAGCCTCATAAAGTGTTGGATAGATACTCATGCAGGCACAACCTAGCTCGATGTTATAGATCTTTTGTAGCTCAGGTGTACTTCAATGCTTTTGAAAGCGCCAATGTATTTGAATTTGCCTCGTCTTTGGATAACCTTCAAGCTAGTTCAGTTAGTGTTATCTGGTTTAGGACGAAAGTATACCTTTATTGCTCGTTTACAATAGAATACATTTATTAAGAAATGTGGAATAATTTCTGTTGACCTCAAGCTCGCAAAAATCATCTTTCTCCGAAACAGTCGTTCGATGTCTCAATGAAGTCAGTTTATATTCTTTCTTTTCTTTAATAGGAAGAGAAGAGTGCAAACATTTCCTGCCTAAAACGTATTGACAGACCAAAAACTAAACTATATTTTTCTTAAATCGCCTTCAAAAATCAATGACGGAGGGCATTACTTTGAGGTTATCTTTCTCGACACAACTGGAATTGCAGGAGTAAAGACGCTGGTTTGGTTTTGGGCCTTTTCCTTTTCATTTTATAGCCAACAGCCATGTCCTCGGTATAGGCTTTTAAGGGAGATTAATTAAATACGACGGCGTCTGAAGTATGTTTCTTTCTAATGTAAATTTGTAGACAACAATCGAATGTTTAACTTACTATCAGAAATCTCAAAAATTGTTTTTAGCCGGACATCGAACGTATATACACTACAGAAGCTAGTTTCCAGTAAGCCATTTTTGCACTGCATGATTTTTATATTGTTGTAGTAAGAAACTACTGCCATGGGCATGGATGTTTAAACGGGGCCACTTGCCAAAATGGAGAGGATAATTACACTTGTCAGTGTGTCGGGGGCAGCTCTGGAATATACTGTGAGACTGGTGAGTGATAGCTAGAGCGTATGCGTTGCATAGTTTAGGATGTATGAAGTTTACCACAAAGGAAACGTAGTGCCGAAAATTAAATAGTCAAAATACATCATTGTTAGTTGGAGTAGATAAAAACCATCTCTGTTGGCTGGGTGCTCATTAATGATGGTTAAGTACAGGTGCTTTGTTTCTCCTTGTGTGAACGACTCAAAAAAAAACTTTGTTGACTGTGTGATCTTCATATGCAATGTACATCGGTCGGTCTAACGCTCAGAGATATGGAGAAAATTTTCAATTTGGCAAATGTTTAAGATTTTACAGCTACGAAAAACATAACTAAAGTCATCCCTCGATGTGAAATATTTACAGTTGAATCATTTAATTGTCTAATTCAGATATAGTGGATGAATGTTCAAGCAACCCATGCGGCGAAGGGACTTGTCAAGATCTTATTGGACATTACAGCTGTGTCTGTCCGTTTGACCCAGAGGGAGACAACTGCGAGGGTAACAAATATTCCATTCTAGTCCGAGCTCCTCCTTCAGTATACTAAAAACTGGCAGGCCTATGCGGAGTTAACACCTCATCGAAAGTAAACCTTTTTCATGGAGAGATAAAAAAAAAACACTTGGGGATCTTTGCAACACCATTCTGGAACCATGAGGCCTCGCGGTCACTTGATTTTTTAACGGTATATCGAGAGAGGGTGATGGATCTCAATTTGAAAGAATACATCCGACCTCTTTTGTCCACTGACCACTTTTCTATTTCATTTCCATCTTCAGGGTAACAGGGCCCATTTTTTCAAAAGCGTTCATCCTAAATCCAGAATGAGAAGTTAAACTAGGTTTCAGGGCAAGAGCAAGAGCATGTAAACTGTATTGAGCTTTCGTAAGTAAATTTTTTAGGCAAAGCTGAACGTAAGAACTGCCTGCAAATAAACAGAACTAAATGAAATGTTTACACTAACCCAGGGCTGAACTGAATAACTAACTGTGTTTTGTACAAGCCAGCTGGAAGGCAAAATATACACTTTTTATATAAAGAGATAAGTTACTTTATGCCTAGATCTTGTCAACGACTGCTTCGACCATCCTATTGGTGTCGCCGATCCAAACGTGATCCTTGATCAGCAGATGACAGCGTCTTCCCAGTTGGTTGAAACTCATCAGGCATCTTTTGGTCGCTTAAATGGGACAGGTTGGTGTGCGGAGAATGCAAGCTCCACGGAAGTAGAATGGCTTCAGATTGATTTCAACAGAACAATCGAAGTTTTTGCTGTTGCAACTGAAGGTGTTGCCAATGGCTGGGTGACGAAATTCAGGCTGTTTTTCTCAATTGATGGAAAAGAGTGGACGTCTTACAAACAACAAAATGGCTCTGCTATGGTAAGTGATTTCTTTTTGTGGAATGTAGAGAAGAGAATAAGTCATCATAAGTATGATTATCCTGGCTGATGACTAAATTACGTTTTACTTCTTTGAAACGTTTATAACAACAGCACTATACATGATGCTGTAGTCTGCTTTTGTGACTGCATCTTGAAATAAGGACGTAGCTTATCAAGAAGTCTTGTTATTGCTTTAGCGAGCATGTTCGTGTTACGTCGTCGTCATCTTATAAAGAAGGTAAGCAATCGGGACGGAAAGGAACCCATTTTACTCCATTTTTCTCCAATCTGAATCTTCTTTTAGTTTTTGAGAAAGTGAACGTTGATCGGCTGATATTTTTGGAGGAATGTTGCTGAACACAACTCTTACAAAAATTTGGTTAGGCAAAGCCCAAAATCTCTAAGGCGGCTAATTATAACCCTTCGAGAATTCGAATTTTTGTTTCTACTACTTGGTTAGAAAGGTACGAGAAAATTTTAGCCTGTAAACTTTTGCCTTAATGACATACCTTGAGCTGGGTGTTGCACCCAAGTTTACCAACCAAATCACTCATTACCTTTATTTGAATCTTTTTTGGTTCCAAAGAAATTTGACAGGGTGGGCAAAAATGTCGCTGTTGACCAACACAAGCTCCCAACGTCAGTGTCTGCAAGGCATGTTCGCTTTATTCCAAATTTACAACATGACTGGAATTGTCTTAAAGTAGAGGTTTATGGCATTGACGGTAAATAAGTCATCTTCTTAATATTTTCAAGGTAGTAGAAGCCCTAGATTTAGCAGCATTAGTACTGGTAGTAGTATTAGCAGCAGTAATAGAGTATTAGAAGTAATAGTAGTAGCCGCTTTAGTAGTAGTAGTAGTAGTAGTAGTAGTATTAGTAGCAGCAGTAGTACGTAGTATTAGC